ATTAAAGAAAAATATGATTTTAAGCTTAACAGATAAAATTAAGATAAAAAGAGCTAAATTTTATGTCAATATAAGAGTCATTTTTGAAACCATTATAATATAGCCATTGTTTGTTGATTGTAGTGTTGAAGAATTTTTTTAAATGTGTTGATAAAAGTTTTCTGTGTGAGGTTTGTATAGGGGCATGTACACCTCCAGTCAACGAATTTCAAAAATATTGTTAAAAAATTATTTTATCTATCTACCTACCTATAAAATCTGTAAAATTACACATAATGTTGTAAAATGTTCTGGACCCATCTAGGTTTTGGATATGATTCCTTGTGATAGATGATAGATCAACTTTTCAGTGACGCAGTTGTTATTTTACAGTTAGATACCGTTTTTAATTGTACATAATTAGTTTTAAATATTTAAATAGCAATATTAAATTTTATAAACTATTTTTTCCCTTCATTCTACTAGTTTTAACTTTATTACTATTAAAAGTATTACCTGTGGAGTCAAAGAAGTCATACAAAACCATAAACATTCTTTTAAGTTGAATTCTCTTTTTTCTTCGTCATCTTTATATTTATTTCTGTTATTTTGGTAACTGTATGGGCTCCAGCGATCAAATACCCACATCAAAAAACTAATATAGAAAATTATATTACTATTATGAGGTCACATTGGACACATTATATGTATATTATAAAATAAAAAAAAWATCTATATCGACTATATCTACATTCTACGTTCTAGATATATTTGCGTTGATAATTTATTATAAGTGGCATTCACCTGGTGAAAAAGTAAGCTCCAAGTATACACATCCATACATCGTTTTCTAAAACTGTAAGAAATTTAAACAACGAAGTTGGAGTTTGTGGTTTTTTCATTAAAATTGTTATTCCGACTAAGTCATAATAAGGGACCGTAAAATCCACAACATTTTCTCTCTCAGCCATAACTGATAGAGAACCCAATGCAATATCAGCTCTCTAAAAAATTGCATTACAATAAAAATAAATGGACGTTATTATTTTAAATTATATATACCTTTTCGACAAGTTCTTTAACCATTCCGTTCCACTGTCCATTTTCGTCCATATTACCTGAATAAATAAAATATTTTATATCAATAATGAAATACAATTCTCTCTGATTTTATTATTATGATATTTTTAAATTTACCAAAATTGTTGTCTGGGGCTATATAAATTTCGTATTCAAAACCTATCAATTTTCTGATTTCTTCGATTAAATCAATACAATAACCTTTAAATTTTACACCTTTACCATCTTCGTCATCAATTTGTATCATAAATGGATTTTGCTGAAACAAGTTATATATTATAATTATTTATAATATATATTATAAACGCAAAGTCATATAATTTAAAAAAATTATATAAATGCTTAAATGAATACTTATAATTATATATATAACATTTATTATAGGTATAACTATAAATCATAATTAATATGATATACTCTGTCCGGTGACAGAACGCGCCAMTTTAGCACATCCCCATTCCCCACGCGATACCTTGCCATGGATGCGCAGAAGAACCTACTTTTGGCGGGTCGAGGTGCATATTCTCTCCCTAAACATCGTATAATGTGTATAGTGAATATATTATACTCGAATGAATTTAGCCTATACGGTTACATAATATAAAAAATCAACATATTAGCTCCACTCAGAATCTAAAAATATATTTATGAATAATATTTACCAACACAGTGACTACTCTGTATACAGTGACGGCGGAAAAATGTGTCATATTTGCGGCATCTTTAACAATAATCGGTGAATTAAGACTTGCCTTCCACGAGCCCA